ATTTGATATGTTTTTTATTTAAGCAAGTAGTTAAGGATTGTTTGTATAAACATAGTTGTTGAATAGACATAGACGTAGATAGACGCATCGTAGATAAATTGCCTTATATACTTCTCGTTTTAGACAGTTAAAATAGCAAACATTTTATATACTCGTGATTAAATAAGGCGTTAAATCACGTATTTCAATCTCATTTCATAAATAAATCGCGCCTAACTCACTTTTATTTTAAACAGATTTGAATCCCGATTCTTGCCGTTTCTCGATAAATTATATTAGCTGGAATTTCACAACTTCAGCAACCGTTTTAGCGTCGCCGTCTCAGAGAATTAATAAAAGTTTTTAATTGAAATCGGTCGAGAAACGATTTTATCGACGATTCCGTTTTTTGAGAAATAGAAGAAGGCGCAGAACTATCATTATGGTATTTGGGAGAGTGTACAAATGTCTGTTAGTGTTACACACACATGGCTTTACTGTTTTTGATGGATTTGGGTTATAATTTTATTTGACTGCGTAGTTAATAAATAAATGGATCAAGACTTCTACCTACAAATGTCATAGATATTTTATCATCTTAAATTTTATGCTGCCCTGGTACCTTACGAAAAAAGGATTCTAACTATATAGTCATGGAGCATACGTAATTTTTTTCTTATATATCTTCCCATGGTTAGAACCCAAAACCAATTAATCCCGGGATTCAAACTCAGTACCTCTCACGTTAAACGCAATACCATTTTCAAATGTAGCTGGGCCCTTCTTTAAAAGGGAATAAATAATCGCGTAATTTGCCCCTGTGATCCTTTGACGGGAATCCTCTGGGGGCCACAATCCGTCACGAGCACCGATGGCTATCTCAAAGGAGTTCTTGCTAAATCACAGATCGCTTGCGTCGCTTCTTACGTTAAATTCTGTGACGTCTATTGTATAGCTTCCAGGAATTGCTTTGAAGTATTCAAATATTCATCGGTTTTTATTTGCAAAGTTAAAATATTGAATTCTATGATTTTTTATCTCGTTTCAATATAAGTAATTGAATGTTTTTCAGTCAGTATAATTCTATCATAGAATTTGTACCTCGTGTATCTATGGCAATAAATAAATACTAAAAAAATAACAAAATTTTATTATAAAAAGCTTAAATTTCTTAAGCCGACAAATGCGATCATCGTTTGAATCAAATGTAAGAATTCTCACCGGATGTTCTTCACACCTCATGCATTATAGGGATTGATAGAAAAGGGTTTTCGAGGCATTTATGCAGTCCTGGTGCGGTAGATGGGAAAGTAAATCAGAATGAAGGGATCCCGTCGCGACGTCCGATTTATGGCGGAGGGGTTCCATCCCTTAGAATTACATGTATTAAACGGGATAGCCCCAAATCTATCGGGATAGTTAAGCTATCGTTGAAGGAATGGTATCCAGCTATTTATTTCAATTTGACAACTCACAATTTAAATATTATATCGATAACATTCAAATTGCTACCTACTCGTAGAAAATTAAGTTATGTATATGTATGAATTTAGATTTTTAATATACATACATACCCATTTAATAAATATGACGACAAAGTAGTAACGTAAACACAAAAATTAATTAAAAACAAAGAGTTCTTTGTCTGCCTGTATACAAATATTGGTTAACTAGTGAAAAGTAGTTTAAGATGTACTGAAAAACTTTTATGTTTAATTAATAGTTTAATTTAATTTTGTAGTACAAAAATAATATGAAAGCTACATAGATAAATTCGCGTACGATAGGTAGGTGCTTCATAACATAACATTACTTAAAACTATAATTAATTAATTAATCAAATAAATTTAACTTAAAAACATAAATAACTCAGGTTTAGTGATTAGTGACGTCTGAACACAACAAATATAGTATAAATAATAAGGTTTGATCGAAGAGCACAACATTTTCTATAATACAAAGTACTGGTTGAGATTTATATTTACGCGACACCTCCCGTCCCTTTGAAGTGACTGGATGGGGGAATAAATTCTTCCACGGCGACGGCGTTGTTTTTAATTAAAACTGTATAAACTTGGAGGGAAAATACCTTTTGTAAATCTGACGGGGTCCTTGAACTTTGTATAGATAATATTGCGGTTATTTAAATTAATATTTTGCTTCATTATTCACCTTGTGGTACATTTGACAAATATGTTCGTATATTGTGAAACTAGAAGAACCCACCACGCATTTTAGGCGTGTTCGGCGTAGTTTGGCGGTTTTGTTGAGTTCTAAAAACTTACAGTTATCTTTAGAACTTCTTAGATCCCTTATACACGACATAAACTTTTACTTCACTGGGAATTAGAAGTCCGGATCTACTGCACAAGGTCCAGGGTTCGATTTAACATAACAATTATGTAATAAGCCTTAAATTAGTCCCTAACGGCTGATGTCGTTGTCCTGATCTAAACTACCTAGTGTGTACCTCAACTCATTCTTGATAAATCCATGAACTAATATCGTTAAGCCCCCCGTAAACATAAAAGGTCCATTATGATCGGTGTGGCGAGGTCCAGTTTGATCTCCGCTTAATCCGATGTACCAGGATAACATAGCTAACAATGTGATAAAGCCGCAGCGAACACGTCGTACTCTCTCGTAATAACTATAAACTATCAACCGCAAATGTCTACCATCTTGTAGCCGGAGTCGATGAAACACTCCCTCGCACTCAAACCCCTTTGTCTCCCTGCCCCCTTGAAATGAGCAGACGAGCTTTCGTGTATTGTCTCAGTTTTCAAATATTGTTTGTTCAACTGCACGGAAGGTTTTCTGCTACCTATCGTTTTTGGTGCTCGCAACTAACTTATTTATGTTATAGAAACATCTTGAACTAAAACCTTATTACCTTAAAATGCAGAAACATATTTCGTCAACATCAGATATTATTTTAAACTCATATCGAATAATTTACGTACGGAAAATTAAATATAAAATTATTTTAATGAGAGTCGACAGCCTCGATTATACATTTCTGTCAATTTTATAGTCTCCTGGTGTCGAAGTTTTTATTACGAGAATTTAATTAAACCGGTAATTGAAAAGTTACCTGTCTGTTATTAGTTTACGCGACTAACATCATAACAACACATTTAAATAAAACACTCAAAACAGTTTAAAACACGATATCGAATAATTAAATTTGTTAAACATGTTGACTAAACGTCGGCCCGTACTTTAAAAAAGAATCAAACATCTTTAACTAATATCGCGTTTTCAACCGTTAAAGTGTTTTATTTAAAAGTTATCTTTTATACATTGAAATAGATATTACAACGCCTATATAACTATTTATTTAATAGTGAATAATATTTGATTATGTCGATTTCACTCTAATGTGTGTAGTTGGCACATGTTTGTAGTCACCACAGTCATGTAAAACTCAAACGAGCGAAGTAATGGAAACTTATTGTTTTTACTCAGTAAATATTTGTTAATACGTCCTTGCGTTAACTACGGCAAAATTGTACGAGTTTTTATAAATATGTTTTCAAGACACGTAAACCTCAGCTTACTAGTCTGATAAGTAAGGTGTTTTAAAAATAACTATAATTATTAAATAAAAAAAAGTAGTTTAAGATAATCAATTTAAAATTTTTCTGAAACATTTTGGGCCTTGACTGGAAATCTGGATGATAAATCAAATTTAATCAATTTTCGGTTACAGTCTGTGCATTTCCGAATGTCTAAAGCCAAAATAGGTCGTCAGTGCACCTTGTTCAGATGTTATATGGTTCGGGTAATTCAAGTATCATTAAGTGAACCCCAGACTCGTCTGTCCTCCTCAATCATAACAAAATATTTAAATCTCCTTTAAATCTAATCCTTTCGTTGACTCCTAGTATTGTACGTAAAAAATCTTTTAATACTAATATAAATAAATATAAATAGTATATCTTTGTTGCTTCATATTTTAAACTGTAGGTTGATAATAAGACATTTTACGATATATTTCTCCCTCCCACAAAATATATTCATTTATTTGTAAGCACTCGCGTAAAGCATAGACTTAATCATTAATATTGCAACCATAAAGAACTTTCTCGATACCACAATATGAATTATTGATGCCCACTACTCCTTATTATACAAAATGCTATACATCACCAGTCTTCAGCTAAAAGATCATTCGATGCAAATGGTGAGCGAAAAACGTGAATTTTAATTGAACACGACTCGTCTCGCACCGTTTATTGCAAGGACGTGTTTTATTAAGACTTAAATGTCCGAGGGACGGCGTCGGGCTCAAAACAGCTTTATATTATGTATCAATAAAATAATATCAATTTGCGTCGGACATTTAAAGCCGGTTTTATATAACACTGAAATATAGTATAGGTTTATTGAACGTGTCCCATAGCCATAAATTATTTCATGGCCGTCTAGTTTTTTGCATTACGAGGTTCTGGGTTCGAAGCTCGGGAAACGAAACATTTTCGGTTCTGTTCAGACGAGGCACAGAAATCTTTTTTGGTATTAAATAAAATCGATCAGTATAATATATATATATATATAATAATATAAATAAACAAATCAGTGAAATAATAAATCACATAAATTAACTTTTTTTTCAGTCATGGAAGCTAAAATTCCCTATCGTGTTAACATCAATTTTTTATGTGTGGTAAAATACCAAAATTGTATAACTTCTAAATTCGATGCGCTGTCGAAGTATTTTTTAGGCTTTGGATATTCGGAAATATACAGACTGAAATCGGAACAAGGTTAAACTTTTTCATCTGTGGACATTCATATTTAATATATCCAGTTATCCAGACGAAGTTTCAGAAAAATTATTAATTGATTAGGAAAAATGTTCGACCCGCTGGGGATCGACCCACGACTCGTTGATTATCCATACATTGCTACCATTACACCAAGTCCGTCGAAATGCAAGGTCAAACCCGCGTCCCCCACTTTGACATTCTGAACACTAGGACCACAGAAGTACATGCTAATAAATCCATCGCGCCATAATGAATTCATACATTATAGAACAATACCGCAGTGTGTGGGACTGGGAAGCATTAATCAATTACACAGGCGAGTGGGCTCTGCCCGCTTTGCGCCGCGTAATGGATACCGCAACACAAGTATCCGTAATGAGCGCACACGCTGTTCACGCACGAATGCCTCTTGAAGCACTCTGTAGTACCAGGGCGGGAGAGGTTCGCGAAGCTTTTATATAACCACAAATACATGGAATATGTACTTGTGATGCACATATTAAAGAATGGCTCTGCCCGCGACTTCGTCCGCGTGTAATAGTTATTTTAGGAATCTTTTTATTTATTTCTTGCAATCTCCTGAGCTTTATAAAAATGGCTGTTATCTACGACGTACTTCTTGCAAGTTAATCTTAAAACATAGACATATAGTGTTGTGGATATTTTTTAAATAATTTAACCATTCTTTTGTACAAGCCTTCCTATATAATGGTCCAAGCAACAAAAAACTAATTTATCAGTTCTTAACATTAACGAGTTTTGTTTCTCATAGTTGGTCGTTGATTTAATTCTCACGAATCGTTGGTTGTTATGTCAAGTTTTCATCTATAAGTTTTAATAATAAAAAAAAATACACTTCTTTTTAAAACTAATATGGACTATTAATGGTAGAACTTTACCGCCCCTGTTTACTCTAGCGTTATGGCAAGGGTTGTCACATGCAGTTAGTTCATTAATTTGTAAGATTGCGTATAACGTATTATATTTGCGTTACACGTTTTATCTCCTTCGAGGTTGTTATCTTTTTTTGTTGTTAGCTTTATTTGAAGATTTTTATAACCTTTTCTCAGATGAATGATCCTAAAAGACTTGTCATATAAACTCAAGTGCTTTCTAATAATATTTCATAACTTAAAGCATGTATACCTTATAAAAAATAAAAACCACTATAAGTGCTAGTTCATTTTTATATATTTTTTTATAAATTCACTTTTTTATAATACAGATCACAAAAAGGATTTCTCTATGCTTTCGTCGTGGGTTTGAGTCCCGCCTGCATCGTAATTGTTTTTCAGCCTATAATAACAACGCACTGAACTGTAGTCGGCACATTTTTTGAAAGTTACCAAGACTTCAAACTTAGTTAAACTGATACATTTCGCGATTAAAACCGTTAAAAGTGTTTCATCTAAATGTGTACGACTCTTTAAAAGACGCCTTTTATCTTAGATTGTAACCAAGTGCCGATCAATCAACAGACCTTTTCATTTATCAAAGAAAGAGATTTGCATGAGATTAAACTTAAAATAAAGTTGGAAGTGATTAACATATGCAAATGTGCAAATGTGCAAAGCCTCACTAACTTAATGGACACTTTATATGTATCTAGAGCTTTGAGTCGGTAATTTGTTAGTAACTTTGATAATCATATTGGTTTTTTGTGAGGCTTTTAAGAAAGAAAGAAATGTTTTAAGCAGAAGTCAGATTTACTAAACTGTTAATGGCGTATTTTTATAACAGTAAAAAAACTTAACACAAATGTGAAGATGTGATATTTGGAATAGAGAACGAACTTATGTCCTGAAAACATACGTTGAATGAAGATAATACCTTATAATACTATAATTTATCAATATTTGTCTATACTAATATTATAAATGTGAAAGTAACTCTGTCTATCTGTCTGTCCGGCTTTAACGCCGAAACTGCTGAACCGATTTCAGTGAAATTTGGTATACAGATATTCTAGAGCCTGAGAAAGGACATAGGCAAGGGTTGTTAGGGGTTGAAAAGGGGCATGAAAGTTTGTACGAAATAATGGTGATTTTTGAAGCTAGAACAATGAAACTTTCTTCCTTGGCTTTCTTCTTTGGGAGTGAGAGTGGAAGCGGGATTTAGAGTAGGAGTGATATGGAGTGAGAGTGGGAATGTTGTGGCAAACTAGCACTTACCACATAGATTGGCTGCCTTCCAGAAAAAAATAAAAACAAAAACGAAAAAACCATGATAATATTAAGTTAGAAATCGATGCGTTACATTTTTTTATGACACGAGCGGGCCTCGAACCGGCATTTAAAGTTCTGTTACTACAATTGAGCTACTATTTTTTATTTAGATTTTTAATGTATTTATTGCTTCATTTAATATATGAAATTAAAGTTAAATTCTAGTTTTACTTTACAAAGTATTATTTATAATATTAAATGAAAAATCCTATTTAGATTTTCCTATCATTTTCAAGTGTCGAATCACAAGCGATTTGACATATCGATAATATTTTCCCGGTTAATAAAACATAAGTGGTGTTTACGATAAAATTCTTTATCTACCTCACCTTGCACATGTTGATTTAAGGATGAATAGTACCAGGATCTAAGGACGTATTAAAATATTGTTTATTAGAAATTAATTAAAACCGAGTAAAAAAAGTAAACGAGGTAACAGAGGGCGCTGCGTAGTTTAGACTCGATTAGATCCGCTCTTTTTCTTTTCTTTAGCTCCTTTCTTGGTTGGTAGGTGAAGTACCCCGTATATCTAACTATTTAAGCAAGATGGGCGGTCGACTTATCTTGGCTTTGAATATGCGAAATCTACAGACTAAAACCGAATCGCGATTAAACTTCACTGCTTCGTGGCCAGGAATTGGAAATTCGTTATTCCTACCATCCGTTTAACATACATATTTCCAGAAGTCCGACATGTTTCAGAAAAAAATATAAATTGGGGCCCGAACCCACAACCGGTTGATTACTATCCAAACATGCTGCCATTATACCAACGAGCAGTGAATTTTAGTTAGGCAAACGTCAAATCAATCGCCTGTAAAAGCGATCTATGAAATAAAAAATATCTTACATAGAAAAATTTCTTTAGAAAAGATAAAATATTTCAATAAAACATTTTAACGGTTTAAAACGCGATATATTAAAGCGTTAAAGTGTTTTATTTAAATGTGTTCTACTCGCGTAGACTATAGACAGTATTTAAAGATAAAATAATCAAAACTTTATAACTATGATGTTAACTAACAATGCTAACTGTGCGTAAGTGTCTCGACACGAAGGTACAACTTACTTACCTAGGTTATCACCGAGAAAATGTAGTTTTCACTAAGGAAAAGCAATATTGTATATACCGAATGTTAGTAATGAAGGCTGTTTCAAAAGCCCAACGCCGATAAGATCTACCAAATTGCATCATTAACCTTACAACGACGTTAGTCTTAATGGTCATGTGGTTTAATGTTTCAAACTTGAAATTTAACGAAAAAGTGAAACCCCATTTCCGCCGTGGGGCATGTGGCAAACACGTTTCTGTTTTCATCAAAGTTTATTGCTATGACCGAAATAATCTAAAGTTTCCACGGGATACGAACCCAGGACCTATCTCTAAGCAGTGTTAGGCAACACGTTTAACCATTTGACTACACACTAGTTTAACTTCCGATCTATCAAAGAAATTCTATTATGGTAATAATTAATGACTGTCAAGAAGTCATCGTGGAGTATTATAAAAATTTTGTATTTTGCATGAAGTAGACACAGAAACAAGAAATATAATTAAAAAACTACCCCCACTTCGCTTTTGTTGTACTTTAATGGTGGTACAGCGACGATTTTCAGTAATATCCAACGCCTGACGAATTATAAAAACTGTACCGTAAATATAACTAAACTATTTAATATGTATTTTAAAGTACCATTAGTTCGCCGTTACGTAACGCGTTACAGTGCCATTTTCTACTTTATATCTTCGATCGAGACGCTCTCGACACACGCGAATGTTTTTTCATTTGGCTTGCATTATTTAAACTGTAAACTTTAAAAGATTTTTCAGTTGTGGGTTTATTATCTATTTAACTAGCCTGACAGTTGACACACAAAGATAACAGACCAGGGCTCCAGAAACACTTGTAATTACACTTATAAATATGTATAGCAAATGGTTAATGAAACAAAACTCCGCAACGTATAAGGGTATAACTACATGCCGGTTTGACAAATGTATGCAAAAACTTAGTCAACACCTTGTCGATGTTTTTTTCCCTTTTAGGACTAATAAGAAAGACTTTTTTTGTGAAGAAATAAAAATGTCTATTTAACGACCTTTAAATTATTATTCACTAGCTTTTGCCCGCGACTACGCACGCGTTAAACGTAAAGTAGAAAACTCAGAATATAATATTGTTTTATTATGATAATTAGACGATATTACGCGTAAAGTAAGTAAAAGTTCTGGACACATTTAAAACACAAAATCGTGCTACTTAAGAGCATAGCTATTGTAATTTGACCCCACCCCCTTTAGTGTTTTTTTGGGCTTTGTTAAGAATAAACAAAGCCCGTAAAGTCGTAGAAACACTATGCTTAAGGGATATCGTAGAATTAAAAAAAAATGTGTTTACAGTTCGTAACAAACAAGCTGTGTTGCAATTTTTTGCTTCCTACCTTTAAAACTGCGTAATTCACTCCCTCTTTTAAGGGGTTGGGGGAATTCTCGGTATGAACTTCTACTCCCCATTTTAGGCGAGTGGGGGTTAAGAAAGAGACTGTCACGCTCTATTATTTTAACAATGCCCACAAAAAACTCATGTTAATCCCCGATCCATTATGCCGTGTAAGGCGGACAAACGAACATACACACTTTCACTTTTAATCACTTTATATTAGAACGACAAATAACAAGTTAATAGATGTAGACAAATATACGACGAATTGAATTAATATGTTAAATTGAATATTACAAATTTTATAACGCAATTATGGTAATTTTATTTGTTACCTTCGCGATTTAGTGTCTGGAAATAGTAATGTTTTTCTTCTACAGAATATATTTACGTATATTAATTATAGTTTTTGCATTATTTTGTTTAATTTAATAAAAAATAATGAACTAAGTTAAAACAAAGGCGTTATATGCCATGTTAGTAATTTAGTCTTTACACATATATATGTCTCTCGGTTGATTTAAAAAAAAAGATAAATTTGTAAGAATTTATTTTAGATCAACGCTTTTACGACACATTCAAAAAACTATTTATATTATTTAGCTGGTATTAGAACCTACAACGCAACGCAATTTAGCATTTAAATAAACAGTTTTAACGGTTTCAAACTCGAAATATATTTGATGACATTTCGGTTGATTATAGTAGGCGTGTTCACGGGAATGTCTGTCAAAACTGCTACTCTAGCTCCATTGCAAACGTTGGGCAATAAACTAGTAACTGGTTAAATAATATA